TATGAAGTACTATCATAGCTAGTACAGAAATTCTACTGCTTTACTTTACTTTCTTTCACTCTGTACATGCAATTAGCTCACTGGCATGATTTTAAAAATAAAGGTTATGATAATCATATTATATGTATAGCTTATTCAATGTATGGCTTCATAGTTTTATGTGATTGTTAATAACACCTGCACAGAGCATTTCCATACTGACAGTATGTCTTTATTCAAGTGTTTTGGTAGGTATTTCAAGCTTTTCTGCTCCAGCATTGGAATGCGGGGCATGAACGTTTTTTTTATTTTGAAAATCAACAGTTTGCATTATGCAATTAAAAATCCTAACCAATAAAGTAGGGAATAGCTATCCAACTGTTGTTTTAGTTGTATGTTACTTCATATTATAGTTATATCAATGTAAATCATTGTTTTCCCTTGTGTTTCTCATTCTTTCCCTGCCATGTCGTAAAATGTGGTGAACCCATCGCTGTATTTGCTCCAAAGCAAATATTGGCCTTTCTAGTGTTATACATGTATCTGTAACATTTTGAACGGCCATTCCTGGGTTGAGACTGGCTTTGAAAGAGTCAATTTTGCCGCGTTTTCTTCCATGCATGGTGTACGTTAAATGTGCGCTTGTCAATCATACAACGTTATAAGTTCAAATTTGTAAAAAAAGCAATACGATAACAGAGACTGCCTTTTGTTTTTCTCGGCGTGCTTCAAACCACGTGTTGGAATGTGCACGTGTGCATAATTAAATCCCTCTAAAGTTCCCTCCCAAACCTCGCGTGAACAAGGCTGGAATGTGCACGTGTCCGTCAATAAATCCTGATGACGTTCCCTCCCAAATCTTGCGTAAACTGTTGAAACTCAAACGTGTGCGTGATTTAATGAAAACTCCATGAATTATAATGACCAAAGCCAAACATTTTATTTTGCGCCTAGTTTGACTGTTTTATGTGGTTTGTATGGTCACTGTTTTTTCATGGTGTTTGTCAGTTTTGAAGTTTAAGAAATTCACAAATGTTTAAAAATGTCAACTTTAACCATGGATCTTTATGAGTGACATACAATGTAATCTAGCTACCGGCATTTTATGAAATTATACGTTGACTTGTGATTATTTCTTCTCTTCATGAAATCATGTAGGTACATGTATCTGTTTCCTGAGATAAGCTGTGCATGCCATGTCCTGAGGAGAGGAGACTTGTGATGACAGAGGCACCAGATGATTGGATCCAGCAGTATCAGGCCAGGTGAGAAGAATCTACATTCAATATTTTACCTACCATTTACTTTGTGCTATTTGAGAAAAGTGTGTAACTTCTAATGTTACAAATGTATGTTAGGTGGCTGCTGACTGATGCAGTAAGGACTCCTGTCTAAAACTGACAAGTCTTAGAGAAGTTTGGACTAGACCTGGTTAGAGAAGTTTGGACTAGACCTGATTTGATGATTTTAGGCCCAATTGCAAGAGTAAAATGAAGAGTTTGTACAGGTTAACAAATTTTACTATGCTTCACAAATTATAGGTTATTTTTTGTTATTTACTAAGAACTCTTGTGACACACCAATGGCACTAAATACATCGTTTGGGTTTGAAGAATTAACCAAATTTTTCTTTCACTGTCATTCAATGTTGCCCGGATATGTGCTTTTTTGACATCACACTTTTCTTTCATGTAACTGTTACTACATTGTAGTAAGGTGTGTGCTGATGTTCCTGTTCTGAAACACGTGATGAGGGATGACATCTATCCAAGCCAGACCAGGCCAGGCCAGGGCTCACTGCAAACTATAGTTGACTTGAAGACACAGTGAAGTGAAGAGTCTATACAGGTATACAGGTGTGTACAAATTGCTTATATTTTGTTAATTTTAAATGTATTATCATGCAGCCAGAAGAAGTTGACCAATCAGAAGGCTTACTTTCCCATGGGTTTTCAGGCCCTAACCTCGAAAGTGGTAGGTTGTTAGAATAACTGACCACTTTTTGGACCGTACCCTAATAAAAAACAATAGAGAATGCAGGAAAAGTGCAGGTTTATAAGCACGAACTATTGATTGATATGCAAATAAGTGAAGACAAATTTTTGGAAGTCAAAAGTTACAACAGACGCGTACACTACCATTCAGGACAACATTTTCAAGAATAATTTCACATTGTCATTGTTCCAGGAGACGCACCATCAATACACTAAAGACAAATATTATCAAATTTAAAAAAAGTATGAAAGATATTAATAATATGCAATCGACGTGTCAAGAAAATTCAAAGTAGGTAAGTTTGCCATCTACAGTCCTAATACTTTAGGCAATTGAACATGAAACAGTTGTCAGGGTCATGCATCTTTTCTGTACTTTCGATGGTGCTGAACACCATCTACTAACACTATCGGGTAACATACCTGTCCTTGGTGCTGAACACCATCCACTAACACTAGCAGGTAACATACCTGTCCTTGGTGCTGAACACCATCCACTAACACTCACACAGTCATTGTTCATGTACATGGTTCTGTTCGCAATACTGATCCAAACAGCCATTGGTGACTTCGAACACATAAATTACAAGAAGAAATGGTTTCCTCGATTGCCTTTTATTTCAAAATATTATGTTTACAGGCTCTGTGCTAGTAGTATTGCAATAGTACTTTAGTACATAAATCTGTACTGCCATTTAATTCAACAACATGTAAAATACATATATTTTGTATTTATTACTATAAATATTATGTATATTTCCTCATAAAGGATCAGTGATTTTGCCACATATTCACCCAAGGCACAACATTTTAATTCTATGGCACTTATTTATGGCCTTATAAATCCACTATCTACAGTGGCATCTGATCTATTGCACTGAGGAGTTATTGCACATCATTGATGCTTCAATATCAGCAGCATCATTTATATGAAAAAAAGAAGTTTGAAATCCTTTCGTACAGCTTACCATTCCTTATCACCTTCTCATAGCACAACATTGTGTAATTCGATTCATGAAACCTAACAGTCGTCAAAGTTACTGGACACAGTCACATACATATTAAAACATCTTGCCATTAAAACCATCAAGCTATTGCCAATTCTCAAAATGTGACATGTAAAATTACACTGGAATTCAGATTGGCTGACCATCCATGGAATTCAGAGAATTCCTAGTATCCACAGAAATGGTCAGTTATCCTATTAACCAATGCAAAAAAAAAATCACCTATTACAAAATCTTGCTTTAAAGGAGCATTCAGTTTACCTACATGACATGTAGTGTTCAGTAAACCTAGTAGCTACCGTACCATGCCTGCACGTCTTTAGGTTTCCCTTCAGTGATTCCGTCTTTTCAGTAACAAATCATCGACATTTGAGGAACACAGAACCTAGTAAACACATTGAAGTGCAAACTGAACATTCGGTCAGCAGCTTTTTGTCTGTTTCTTTGCAAATTATTCAGATATTTTACTTTTATTTATCTCCTTGCAAAAGCACAATTTGCATAACATGTTGATCTTTATGTATCATCCAGGTAAAAGCCAGATGACAGGTACCTTTTTGGTAAGGGTTAGGCCACATCAATTTGATTTGTTAAATTTGCTATATTTTTGGATGCTTTCAGGAAAATCAACGGCGAAAAAAGAATAAAAACAGGCTTAGGCATCCTTTGATAGCCCCAAATGCTACGAGCCAAGACGTCAATATACTTGGCTGGTTCATAATTAAAACAAAGTATGAATTCTGAACTTTTAATAAAAGCACTAAATTATTACATGGAAAAACTATTACAACTAGAAAGACTTGGAGTCCGACTTTCCTCTACTGGTGGGGCAACACATGAGCATTTTTTAGTTAATTCAGAACTTAAATCCTATTTTTTTTTGCAAATAATCCAAAAAAAAAATTTAGAAGGAAAATCCAAGAACCAATTTATTGATTAAATTGGTGTGGCTTTACATCTGATTTAATGTTACAAAAGCTGATGGGACCTAGTAGCCACAGTTTCAGCAACCAAGATAACTACAAACTACTGTAAATTAAACCTGTAACTTGTACCGTCCCCAGTGCACTGGCAATTACCTATAGTGGAATTCGGTTCAGGAGAGACCTAGTAACCACAGGATAATGCCAGGTGCACATATCACAGGTCAAAATTCCCACAGAAGTATCCAATGTTTTGTGCATCACTCGAGCAGCTGATACCACAAAGACGGACTGTAAAAAAGAATATTAATCTAAAAACTGTTACTGTTAGCAGAAAATTTGGTTAACCCTTTGCCATCTGAGTTACCAGTGAACCAGTACAATTCTGATTGCTAAAGGTTTTCAATAGTGAGTTTTCTCTTTTTAACCAACTTGAATGCTTTTCGTGCTGTTTCTTTGTTTCTGTGGGAAGTTTGATCTCTGTGGCCAATCCATATCATGAGAAAAAAGAAAGGAATTTAGATTTAATGTTAACTCAAATCAATCTACTAATATAACTCAGATGTTCTAGATCTTATGACACAGTATTGTGATGTTGCAATTCAAAAACATGTTCTTATGAGGCCTCTGGATGTAGTTTAGGCATGGCTTTCTCCAGTATCTGGCTCCACTGCTGCCTTGGGCCTGCACATACGACAAAGTCTCAGTATTAGTCGAACTGGTCACTGTGATTCCACACAATATGCAAATGATAGATTTAATGTATGAAGGTTCTCAAAAGCACACAGTCAGATAGGAAGCTTTGACAAGAGCAAGACTCAGAAGAAGAGTTGTAAACACCAACAAGGTGCTTAATGAAAGTTCACAACTTTGCTTGTTGCTGGATTAACATTAGTTGATTTACCTTTAAACAGAACACCTAGAGTACATTTGTCTACCTAGATGTTTCAGATGTGTTATGAATCAATAAAAACAGCATTATTATAATGATAGAATTTACAGTAACCATACATTCTGATGATTATTTGTTACAAAACCCTATCAAGCTAAAATTCTTGAAAGCTTTAATTTATGATAATGCATCAAATTGTATCAGCATTCTGGCTAGCTTGAAATTTGTTTGACGTACACGTAACACCAATATTTTGAAATCTTGACCCTCTGAAAGGCTACATCCTACATTTAGAGAGGCAAATTTTGCAGGTAGACTAAGCTTACTAATAGTCAAATGGACAAAGGACAGATGCTGCATGGCTAGAATGCTGGCTTGTACATCTTTTTCATAGATTCTAAGCAATGAATACAATAGAATGATGTAGAGTGTACATTGTACTTACTTCCAGCGGAAGGTGTAGAGCACAGCTATCAGGATGAGTATCAGCATGAGGAGGATGCCCAGTGCGATCACAGCTATGGCCCAGCCTGGGGTACCGGACACAGAAACAGTCGGCTTGGCCAGCAGGTCATATGGAGTATAGCCAACAACCTGTGTGAAAATAAAAACAAGTATTCTTTAACTGATACATATGCTGTGTGAATCATGTCTACATATTGATTTCAATTGATGAACAAGCTGTATAGTAGCAAGTGCACTAAACTGATAATACAATCAGTCAGTCACTGTCAGACAAACAGACAGACAGACAGTCAGTCAATCAGTCGGTCAGTCAGTCAATCAGTCAGAGTGTCGGTCAGTCAATCAGTCAGTCAGAGTGTCAGTCAGTCAGTCAATCTCCAACAGCAACTCCATAGATGTTGTATAGGAGATCAGAGAGGCCCCTTCACACTTCATTTGTAAGCCTATGTATCCAGATTGAAGCCCGAGTGCACCAAAGCAGGATCAACTTACATTTTCCACATCAGTCTTGCCCCTCTGCAGAGCCATCTTCAGTTCATCTCTCTCAAACAGGTTGAAGCCGGTCAGGGTCCTGTTCAGCCGCCCGGACAGTTCCCGGTGACGCAACCTCATGGCAAGGTCAGACGGAGTGCAAAGGTCATTCTGCTGGGGGATGTGGACAATGATGCCAACCCTGGAATGAAGGTTGATAAAGAACAAAAGTACAGCGACTTTCGGAAGGTCTTCAATTACATAAAGATACAGAAAGATACTATTAGGTACAACAAAATTGACCTACGTACAAGACAATATATGAATCAACTTATATTTCTTGTACTAAGGTCTAAATATTCTTTGATATATTTAACTATTTGTACACAGTAAGGGTTATTACTTTCTAGAATGAAGTTGAATTTATCTACAGCATGAAATGTAGCAAATTCCATTGTGCAAGCAGAAAGAAGGTTGAACAGCTTTGTGTGTTCATCATCATATAGTTGGCAATCCATAATAAAACATTGTTCATCTTTAATCTTATTAAGACAGAATATAAAAGTTCAGTATAAAATGAACAATATAAAAATGAACTTCGCCTTGAAACACATTTTGAGCTATTCCATGTATTCTGTACTTTAACCCTTCATATGGTAAAAATTAAAAATGATACCAACTTGAAGATAACAAGTCAAGCTTACTCCAAATTCTTGTCCTTGTCCACCACCCTTGGTGTGCCAGGTATGAAGGTGATGTCATTCACACCAACAATGTCTCCACGGTTGGGTCTGAAAAAAAATTGAAATGCTTTAAATCCATAACAAGTGTTATATGTGTACATGGTGACAGGAGTCTAAATCCCTCCTGCTATAAAATTGCAACATGATGTAATCCAACACTAGTTACTACCATGGTGACAGACATCTGGTTAAGGTCATTGACCTTATTTGTTTGGACCTGCAGAGGAAGAAGAAACAGAGCAAAAACAACAATGTCATGTTTTCCTTCTGCGAAGGTAAACATAATTAGACATTATACTCCACATTCAAAACATTTAAGTGACTGCTGACAGAAGGTGACAATGCTAAAGGTATATGATAGTATGCAGCAAGACCTACCCTTGGTCTTCCAAAGCCTCAGGACAACATATGGGGAATGCACCCCTCCCTCTGCAGTAACTGTTCACCAGGTTGGCTACCTTTGCCCTAAGTGCTGCTTCCACCATAGGGTACTGGAACATAGAGAAGTATAACTGAGTGTGTACATCTTTTCATTTACAGTACATGTACTATGTATATCTATTAGTAGTCTAAGAGTGGATTCATTGACCCCAAGCTAACTGACATCTATCTGTAGCACAGTTTGTAGTGGACCAGGCAAAGTCCCCATTTAGAACTTTTATTCAGCCTGTCACGCGACCGGTTTCACCCTGTGGGCTTCTTCAAGTGCACAGAGGCTAAATGACACAAACTCACGAAGTTCTCACTTATATAATACAAATGTATTATATACTTTTTCAGTGCATAGATTGCCCTACAAAACATCTGGCAGGTCGGTAGTGCTGACCTTGGTTGACCTACATGTATAACAAAATTCCAAAATAAAGTCCAGTTTCTTCTTGGTTTTGTCCTCTCCTTTTCAAATTAGCTGTTTTCTTGCTCTGGCTTCTAAGCTTCTTGTGTGACTTGCATACATCTTCTCATCTACATGCCTTATGGAATAACTTGCTTTTTAATATTTTTATGTCAAGCACTTCACACTTGCCAAAGAGGCCATAAAATCCAGTCTCACCTCTTCAGCAGGCATGTCCTTCAGCTTCAGGAAAACAGCGTTCTCCTTTTCAGTGGAATCAACTGAGGGGAAAAAATTTAAATCAGTGTATAGACACATCAGTTGTATTTGATATGATTGTCTTTACGATATTTATATATTTTGGGAACAGACTTCAAATGGTCTAATTTTCTTCTTCTTCTTTTCATCTTGATAGACCATCATTCAGTGTCAATGGGCTTGTCTAATAAAGGGTCTGATAATAGTATACTATACTATACACAAACATGTGCAAAATTATTATCCCCTACAATTTGTACAGAAAATTGTGCACTAAGTGTGACTTAACAAATTAAAAGATGAATTGTTCAAGCATATTATGCATGATATTGTCATCTAGGAAGTACAATGCATTGTCATCTAGGAAGTACAATGCATTGTCATCTAGGAAGTACAATGCTCAACTGTTATGGGATAAGGCCACACCAATTAAATTTCTTGGTTAACGGATTTTCCTAGGAAAATAATGGAGCGAGCGGGCGAAAAAAAAATAAAAATAAAAACAGGCATAGGCATCCTATTATGGCCCAAAATGGTACGATAGGAGCTATGAAGTCAATACACCAGGCTGGTTAAAAATTTAAACAATGAATTCTGAACTTTTAATGATACCACTGCATTGAAAGATGGAATGACTGTAAGAAGTAGTAAGAAAAGGACTGTTTTCAACTGTTCAGTGCAAAATACGAGCATTTTGCAGTTGATTCTGAATTTTTATTTTTATTTGCAAATCGGAAAAAAATGAAGCGGCGAATCCGTTAACCAAGAAATTAAATTGGTGTGGCCTAAGGTTGTTTCAACTTACTCATCATCATTAAATTTTGAACTTACTACCGCAAGAGACATCAAAAGTACAACCAGAAAATTGATTTTGAAAATTCAATTTGCTGCCCTGAAATTGCACTGGATGCCTTTAAGAATTACAAAATTAATGTAATTCTTTGCTGTGACTCACGTTGGCAGTTATTTGCAGCACACATCTGCACATCAGTGCTGCTGCCCTGGCAGGGTGGCTGGCCAAAGCTGGGCTCAGGGTTGTCACATATTCTGGTTCTGGTCTTCAGGCCCAGGTCACATGTCTTACTGCACGGCCCCCAGTCAGACCACGGTCCCCAACCACCGGAGCTTACTAGAGGGGGTGGGGTGGTGCAGGGAGGGGACAAAATTCATGCAGTCAGTGACATGATTACATTTAGCTTAATAATGAATGTACTGATCTTGAAAGTTCATTTGTGTTGGTAGAAGTCATAATAGAAAACAAGTTTGAACTGCAATATCCAACACAGGAAATTGGACTCTTTTTTTGATAGTACTCAACTCCAGTCTTTGTCAAGGAATGAGCAATCCACCGCTTCCGTGACCACACATTAGGTTGGGTGGCCACAGGCCACAGACTTTCTGCAACCTATGATCCACTGCTCATGGAGTCACGTGTGTTATCTGCGTGACGCCAGTGGAAAATTTGGTTGAAACCAATTTCTTGTGTTGGATATTGCAGTTCAAACTTGTTTCATAAGGAATGTACTGGTCCAGGACTAAAAAGTTAGTCATGTAGCATGAAACAAAATATCAACATTAACTTAAAGATAAGTTATAGGAAGCAAGTGTCCTGGGCATGAAACAATTACAGTCTTTTCTTTTAATGATATGATTACAATTATTATATCATGATTAACATGCACATCTAACATGCATACATTGCATGTTACTACCTTATGGTTACTACATGTACATTGTAATTTACATCTGAAAGACCTTATAATTACCAGGTATGCTTGGATGAATACTTAACTGGCATCCTATGAAACTGTATATTATCAATAGCTTTGAATCATACGATAATGTTAATATATTTGGTCTTTTTTCTCAAGCATGATGCATGAGGTAAAATTCCAGGGATTCCAAAAAAGGTAAAACAATACAGTACCACAAATACAGTAACGCCAAATTAAGTTTAGCAACTAATTAAAGAATGTAATCACAATATATCCTTGTCATTAAGTAAAATGTTGGTCCTGATATGTTATGCCTCTTCACTAAACCGTACATCCCAAGCCAGCATACTTAGTACTGGGGAATTCTTTGACACAAAGTCTTGCTGAGCAAAAAATTCCACAAGTGCCAAGTAAGCTGACCCAGAGGTTATAGCATAGACCTTATACTGAAAAGCACTCTAGATGTAATCTCAAGCCTTCATTCAATTCAATGTAACTTGTTATCTCACAAATTGACAGGACTTGTTCCTTCCTAAAGAGGAAGAAAGATCGGTAGAGAACAAAAAGATGGGAGGATAACATCAGAGAAGGGGTTAGAATGACACTAAGTGAAATGTTAAGAAGAACAGAAAACCGAGAAAAGGGGAGAAAACTGGTTGTCAGATCTTCTGCAGTACCCCCACGGTCAAACAATTTGACTAAGGGATTGATGAGATCAGAGTTCTAAATGTCCCTACTTCCAAGCAACCATCTTACTGCTTTGATTACCAAAACTGACTCTTATATGGTACAGTAATAAATGGAAGACAGAATTCTACATGTACATGAAGCTGACAGCTCTTTACAAGACCACTCGGTACGGGGGAATTCTATGATACGCCATGTAAAAGTCTTTACAATCAACACAAAGGATTCCCCAGTTCCAAGAGGACTTGCCAAGAATTAACACATATTACATACAACTGCAACAGTTACATTGTACTGTAAGCCTAGATTGAAATCAGTCTCAAATGGCACTTTAATTATAATATATTAAATTACTCTTGTAGATAGAGGCAAATATTAAACAAAATTAAAGGAAAATAACATCTGATTCAGATTCTATGTGTCAGATCTATTTATTTGTTTGTTTGTTTAATATCTATATTTTGTAAGATTTACTGGATTAAATTTTACACTAACAGACTTGGAACCAAGAGGTCCTGGGTTCGAGTCCTTACATGCCACCAATCTTGTGCCCTTGGGACAGGCACTTTACATGACTTTCCTCACTTAACTCATTGTGAAAATGAGTATTGTCTATAATCCTGTATTTGTCCCACCTGTATTGTATTGTTACAATTTTAAAAAAAATCAATAAAACACTCACGTGTGCATGCCTTCCTGTCCACATCCATGACCCATCCAGGCTGGCAGTGACACAGGTAGTACCCAGGCTTGTTCTCACACATGGCATGAGTGACGGAGGGGTCACCACAGACCGGCGGGGACTGGGCACATTCATCAACATCTGCAGGGACATTCAAAACAACAAGAACTAGAGTCATATTTGCAAAGCAAATGCATAATGTTTACCTTTGCATAGGTCTGCTCTGTTAATTCTGACTCAAACACATTCATATTATATGGTAACAGGAGACTGAATCCCTCCTGCTATAAAGTTGCAACGTGATGTAACCCAACACAGGTCATTGACCTTGTTGGTTTGGAGCAGAAGAAGAAGAGGAAACAGAGCAAAAACAATATGTTTTTCTTCGGTAAACATAATTATAATCATAGCACCTTACCTTCACAACTTCTCCCATCTGCAGCCAACTGTTTCCCCCGCTGGCAGACACATGTTGGTACGTTGACATACTGACCCTCATCCTCCACACATTCTGTAGTCATCAGTACAGCTGGAGGTGCCTGGGTAGCTGTAGTCACGGCTTGATTGGAACAGTTAAAGGCATCCATTATTAACAATTACAATTATACTTGAAATCTGTCTCACTGATATTTGCATTTACTGCATTACTGGTAACTGTTTTCATCAAATTGTTGCCTCACACATATCAGTATGCTACACAATGCAAGTGTAACTCTTTCAATCTACATGACATGATATTGATTCAATGTAAACAACACCCCACGACGTCCAACCCTTGCATGACGGGGAACAACGGACGCTAAGCCGTGCAGTGAGTGAGTGAGTAAGATATCATACTTGGTAGCTTTGTCAGATATATTTTGTCTGTCTCTTACTGTTACACTCAAGCATTAATGATTAATTCAAAGTCTTCATCAAACAATGACTAACAAGAGTTCCATGATCTCATACCTTTGCCAAATGATGTTAACCATTCCAACTGAATAAATTATACATCAACACCGGAAGTTCTGCTGCAGTAGCTGGGAAAGCTGCCAGGGGGCCCAACATCTAATCATCTCTACGTCTTGTGAAGCTGCCTACCTACCTACCTACCAAGTTTCATGACAATCCATTTAAAGTTTCTTGAGTTATCATGCTAAACCACATACATACATACACACATACAAACGCTACAGAAAACATAACCTTATTGGCAAAGGTAACAAACCTGTGCTTGTAGTGAGGTTTGTAGTGGTGCTGTTCATAGAAGCTGTTGTTCTTGCTGCCATTGTTGGTGCTGCCATTGTTGGTGCTGCCATTGTTGGTGCTGCCATTGTTGGTGCTGCCATGGTTGGTGCTGCCATGGTTGGTGCTGACATTGTTGGTGCTGTTGTATTTTCCTGTGAGGATGTTGATGGAGAGGTTGTGCTGTCCACAGAGGTTGATTGCAGTGCTGTTGTGCTGTCCACAGAAGTTGATGGGAGTTCTGTTGTGCTGTCCTGGGGAGTTGATTGTGGTGTTGTTGTGCTGTTCATATAAGCTGTCATTGGTGCTGTTGTGCTGCGCAGGTAAGCTGTTGTTGGTGCCTTTGTTGTTGTTGCAGTTGTTGTTGTTGTTGTTGCAGTTGTTGTTGGAGCGATTGTTGTTCCAACAGGGGGTGCTGAAGTCGTTGTTGTTGTGCACCTTGAATGGAAAAGTCATTAAAATCAAGAAAAGCAACTTTTCTTCTCTCAGACAACAACTAGCAGTACATAAAACTCTGCTGTTGTTGTTGCTGTTGTTGTTGCAGTTGTTGTCATTGGAATGGTTGTTGTTCCAACAGTAACAGGGAGCGCTGAAGTTGTTGTTGTGCAACTTGAATGGATAAGCCATTAAATCATTGACAAGCAAAGCATTCTTCTCTAGTACTGTATACATAAAACTGGCTAAAAAGAAGTCTAAATATTCAAAACATGAAATTATGAAATTCTAAGGTGGTGGTGAAGGTGATAAAACGAAAAATACTTTGGACAAGGATATTTTCTCTACTTAAAGCATTTGAATTAGCCCCAAAAAACTATGTGAGGCACTTCATTTTGCGAACCATCCATAGGACTGGTACATGTAACTTAAAACCAGCCTACAATACAAAAAAGCAACCGTTTTCCATCTGCAACATCACACTTTTGCCTCACAGGTATCAGTATGCTATGGGATAAGTTTGATTCAACTTACTACATTAAAACAATGACCAGAAATTTTGACATGAAAATCCGGTTTTGCTGCCATAAAATTGCATTGAATGCCTGTCAAGTCACTACCACGTACCTCTTAGGAGGGGCTGCTGGGTCGCGTGTAGGGAGCATCAGACACCTGTAGTCACACCTAGCCTCCCAGTCAGCAGGGCACCACACCACAGCTACAGGTACATCAACAACATTAGCCAATAAACTCCCTGGCACTTTTGATCAATTGCTTACGTCACATATCTGTAAAGTCTTGTGTGAATAAGGCCACATGTCTCTCACAAGAAAACATTTTGAAGTGATTGGTCATTCATTATCCTGATGAAGGCGACAGCGGTCATTGAAAATTTGATCTCTGTGTAATCTTTGTGTTGGAATTAAGTTCAACATTTTACTATCATCGGTTACTACAGATTAACTTTCATAATATTATGCAATAACGTTAAACTTAGGCATTTACAGACAGACTTTTCTTTGACACATATACCTTAAGTTTCAAGTTTATGACAGAAAGGCTTGATGGCAAAGCCCACAGGTAAAAAATAAAATAAAAAGTAAGTACAAGAAAAGACAAAAACTATTAGTACCCGTAGTATTAGTATAAGTTGTACTTACAGTTGCATCCAGTTCTGTCACTATAAGGCCTGTAGCCTTCAGTACAGTGGCAGTCGTATCCCCGAACCTTGTCCACACACACAGCAGTACTGCGGCATCGGTTCATCCATACAGAGGTGCACTCATCAATATCTGTATATAATCAATGTACAACTTGTGGGAACTCAACTCATATTGAGGACTACATACTTGGTGCTGTAAGTGAAGGGAGATGTCAGAAAAGTCTTAAAGCTGCATTATGTAACATTGGGACGAGACAAAAAGTACATTTTTTGTCATCTCTTTAAAAAGGTAAGCTGAATCAACCCTACTCCATTCCAAATAAGTGCCATTCAGGAAGTGTAGGAGCCAAAATATGACACCTTAGGAGTGTGTTTAAAAGCTAGAAACACAGCTGTTAGACATATATGTTTGCATTCTGGTAGTTTGTGGTGGCACCACAAACTGCGTGCACCTTATGGCCTACCATAACCCTTATGGCCTACCATAAATGTCAGAAATGTGAGATTACAGCACAAATATAATGAAAAGTGTCTAAATAAACTACAATCAGACAAGCATTTTTTACATAATGTCCCTTCAACACATGAGGGAAGGATGTTAGATTTTTAACTGACCTTCACATTCCTTTCCGTTGGGTTTGAGCTTGCTGTCAGTTCTACAGGCACAGCGGTAACTCCCCTCCTGGTTCACACACAGGTCAGTACACTGCCCATTGTCAGATGCACACTCATTTATATCTGCAGCAAAATAAATGGGCATCAATCACCTATAAAGATCAATTAAAATTTCCCAAAATTGAAGACATATCCATGGTACATACAGTTATAGAATGATGTTAAATATGTCCTGTAAAATGTATAGGTGAGGTTCAAGCTTTTTTTTTGTCCAAAATCAGAATTTTAAAGAATTAAAGGCTTCATTGATTCTGGTGTTAAAACAAATTTTAATATCAATCATACACTTAAACATTGACTCATCTTTTAGTGAAAAAGCTATTTAGTACTAAGTAAAATGTGTAGGTCTGTATAACGCATATCAAAAGTATTTCCATTCAGTTCTGTCCCCAATCAACTATTATCATATCAATTATTAAAAACATGATGTCTCTCTGCTCTTACACATGTACCACTGTTACAGTAACAGTTTGTAGTTGTTGGTTACCTAAGCAGGTGACACCATCCGACTGCAGCTGGAAGCCAGCCTCGCAGGTGCAGGTGTAGCTGCCAATCGTGTTGGTGCACGTCGCATGCGGACCACACATGTGCATGTTGTAAAGGCATTCATCCACATCTGTAAGAGAAAATTCACTTGTCATAGTAGACAAAATAAAATAATATTTGAATGTTTCAGTCTGTGGAATTGAGTTGTGTGTATTTCAAAACTGATGACAGTATTACTAAGTAAAATGTACTTCAGCCATTAGGCCGCAATGTTTTATTTCAGAAACCATTCAATCCTTCATTCATTTACATTTTTGTACTAAAAAGTAATGATTGCATTAAAAACTAATCTTTATTCTATGAATTTACATGATAAAAGGACTGTCATGATAGCAGTTTGGTAACATCATTATTGAAAAGCGGGCTGGCAACTATGTTTCACTGTAAACAATCTTGTACCTTCTTTAAAAGATATGCAATATGACATTCCTTAGGCCTAGGAAAATAAATGTTGTGTTTCCTGTTTCCCGACCGACCCTAAAAAAACCGCCGACCCTAGCCTTATTTTTGTGTGGACCCCTGCATATTGCTGAACCAAAACATAATTTTTGCACGACGCTACCGAGAGAATCGCTGTCATTGGTGGAACATCGGGCGCCCCGCTAGCGTTTTGAAGTCGTGTAAACAACGCTAATAATTTGTCTGATTTGTTTGTAAAACAAAGCCATCGACTCCGAAAATAAGTTTAAAAGCCGATACATTTACGAACTAATCGCAGAAAATTCCCTACCGTACTGCACCATCAGCATGCGGCGGCCGCAAAAATTCGGCAACGCGAAAGAAAAATGTCTGGTCCATGATAGCAGTATTTCTCATAAAAATAATGTATATGATTTATTTTTCCCCCTTTGTCGGTCTTTTAGTCCCAAAACGTCTAAAAAAGCGGAAATTTGCCCATAAAACCGGACGAGGAAAGGTAACTGTTAGCTATCGACGTAAACACATGGCGAAAATCAGCAAAATCGGCAACGGGACAGAAAAATGTCTTGTCTTGTCTTGTCTTTCCTTTAATGCCCACGATCATTATATTGATCATTCTGGCATGCCAATTCTTGGCAAGACTCCGGATTGTAGAATTTGTACCATCGCACACAGGGGCATGCCCCTACTCTTTTTCGAAAGGTGTGGTGGGTTCTTTAACGTGCGTGGGGTGTGACTCTCCCCAAACACGGGACCTCCATTTAACGTCCTATCCGAGGGACGTCCCTAACCGAAGCTAGGTACTCATTTACACCTGAGTGAAGTGAGGAAAGTCGTGTAAAGTGCCTTTCCCAAGGGCACAAGATCGGTGACATGGGTGGGGATCGAACCCGGGACCTCTAAGTCCCGAGCCGAATGCGCTACCGCTGCGCCACACGACCCCACTGCCTGGTCCATTTATCGATATTTACCATGAAAATGTCGTCTGTGGTGTATTTTTCCTATGATGTGAGTTTTTAGGTCGCAAAACCTCTAAAAAAGCAGAAATTTGCCCACGAAAACGGACTGGCAAGGCATGGGGGAGGGCGCTGTTGACGCCTGCATGACCCCCAAAGGTTGAAGGTCATAGGGCACGTCCATTGCGCAATAACCTTAAATCGCCGATTTAGCTAATTTTTGGGGGTTTCAAATTGATACAATCACACTATCGATTTTTAGGCAAACAAAGGGATAGAAACCAATTAAAATTTTGTGCAGATTAATTTTTTTTCTTTAGAATTCTTTTTTGTTTCTTTTTTTCTCCCAAATCCCTGGGAGAACCCTGAAAACCTGTAGACTTGAATCAGGACCTGAATCTGAATTTAGCCCTGCAAGGGCTAGGGACATCTGTTAAGTTCTTCGAGCTGATCGACCGTTTAAAGCTCCATGATCTGACA